CTTCAGCTTGCTTTAGCAATTACAATATTAAAAGACGTTGAAATTGATGACATCTTACATCTTGAATGCAGATCTAATCATAAATATCGAGCGTATATTAGAAAACACTTTTTCATACAATGATGTAGAAAATGATGATGAAGTTTCTGGAGCTTTACTTAACAGATTAAATCAAAAACTAAAAGAATATGAGGAACGTATCATTAATTATGCTCCTAATGGTAGTCCCCAAAATTATAAAATAATCAATAAATAAAGTAGGAAATATGACAAAGATAGCAGTAAACACTACATACAAATTAAATGGTTCCTGACAAAATTCCTGAGTAGTTCTTGTATTCACTTTCCTTTCTTTCCAATAACACAATAATGTTGGTATATATATAACTGTGCCCGTAAGGGTCTTATACCTATAGGTAATCTCTGACAAGTTTAAAATAGAAACTGAGGTAAGCCACAAAAAAGAGAAAAAACAAATTGTGAGATATCGACAGCCGATTTTCCATTGGCAAGTGCAATTGATAGTAGTACAGTAGCAAGAAATATTTACAACTTAAGTTGTCGGGTGCGGGTAATTCCCAGATGTTAGAAAGTAAAATAATCCAGGTCCGGACAGGGACCATCGTTACTCAGGAACGAAACTGACCATTATTTTATGAATACAACTACCTGATAAATGTTCTCCGACAAATTCGGGTGAACTGGTGTGAGCCATAAATATTTCTTACCATTATCGAGACCATTATACTACCGCCCGTCTCGTTATTGTCAATAAAATTTTATAGGGTGGAATGAAATTTCCAAAACTATACACACATATCGGATGATCTTTGTCTTTGATAGATTTATGATACTGACATATGTCAAATAAAATCACAAATGTAAACACAAAACTGGCGAATGTGAACAGTATTCAGCCCTTAACGAAAAATCAGCGCCTTGAAATTTTTAGATACATGTTAATTTATATTTGAATATCAAGTAGTTAACATAAGATAATTGCACTTGCTGTATTCCATAACCATTGTTACTTTCGTAATATTTTCTGGAAATCTCTTGGAATTTTGCTTGCCACTTGATTTTCTTTATGTAAACAGTTCACAAGAGTATTGGAAAATTGTTCACGGAATTCATCCCAAGTCTCCCGAAACTGCCAAAAATCTTCCATTTTCTGACCTTTGCAAACAAAAAGTCAGGATAAACATCATTAACTATTTAATACCAAAATTTGCTAGTGTGTTCTCCAGTAGCATCTTAAACTTAAAGTTACTTTAATCAAATCAAAAATTAAATTGTGATTCTCATCTAATAAAAGTCGCCAGTGAACTGTCATATTTTGTGATAGTTAGCTGTTTACGAGTGTTAACAAATTTGAAGCACTATATATATTTTTAATATAGTTGAAATGTTATTGTATTTACTTGGGTTCATTAATTACTTTTTATACATACTAAAGTTAAATAGCTATTTTTTGCTAAACGCAAGCTGTTTGCTTCATTACAGCGATAAATAGTTTTTTTTTTATTGCCTAAGCACGTAGTTATCAGAATGATTAGTATTAGATATAGACCATTAAAAGAGTATTTACCAGCATTCAAATGAACTACATGCATGTGTACTATACTTAGACAGTAGTGTGTCACTGTTGTTATGATCTTGTCCTTCATTAAGTAATTTGTTTATATATTTCTCTGAAAGTCGACTACGGATTGGGACCTTTGTAAAATCTTTCTTCGAGATAAATTAAGAACCTAATAGTAATAACATAGAAATTCCATAGTTTTTCCGATAGACACTACTATAACAGATTAGTACTATAAAGTGTTATCAATTATCAGTATTATCATCATTGGCGTGTTTGCGCAAAACATTTTCTTATAATTTTTTTCTTATGCTTACACTTACCCTTATAACCTATGTCTTGTAATTATAACACTCATAATCGTTACATCTTATATTGACAACAATAGAATTTTTTTACAATGTCAATCAGTGTCATTTAGAATTCTAATTATGTCGCAACTGAAAAAGAAACTATTTTTGTATTAACTGATACACTGAGTAGTTCTGAACATCTTCTATATTGCCACAAGTCGCCAAAATTTCTAAATAATTCATGTGCAAAAAAAATCATTTCATTATTCATTTATTTTAAAGTGAAGAACGATCTTGAATATATGGTATCTATCATTATAGAAAACTGGATTTTAAAATTGACAAAGCTATTTAGATAACAATATTACAATATATTTGTATAACAGTATGTGAAAGGACACTACAATAATAAAGATCGGTTGAACACAAAACAGGCAATAGAACTTAGACGATATTAGAATAAATAAAACGTCAGAACAACAATTATTATTAATGTTTTGAACACCAAAATTTGCCAATATGTTCCTCTGCAGCATATGAAATTTAAAGTTACTTTAATAATCAAATCAAAAAGTAGACAATGGTTAGTAGGCAATTAAGGTCTCGAATAAAATACGTAATAGACAATAGAGAGTAGAATTGAGAATTAGTGCCACATAAAACTATTCATGCACTTATAATCGATCATATTTTGTGACAGTTAACTGTTTAGCAATATGATCTACTGTACACAAGTTTGAATAAAGCAACAATAGGTATATTAATTAATATAGTCAAATATAGTTTAACTGTTTATATGATTTTAGTATGTTGTTGTATTTACTGCGATTTTATTAAACACTGTTTTACATTTTAATAAGTTAAAATTTTTAACGATATATATAGGTCAATTTTTTTAAATTTTACAGCTAGGAACCTACTTATAGAACTCCATGGTTTTCCGTGTAGACACATAATTCTTTAAAACTATATCAACGCTAATATCATTGCGGTCTACTTTGATAATTTTTGGGGTACAAAATAACACAAAGTGAATTTTACATCTAGATCATGACTTCTTATTTGCGAGTGTCAGTAATAAAATAATAATGATATAATAAATAATATTTAATCTAATATACCTTATGTAATATAGTAGATTCTAACATAAAACGTAAATTATAATATAAACAAAGTGACAAATGTAATAAAATGTACATTTACAACCGCTATAAAATATTAAAAGGAACTTTAATACAACTGAATACTTACAATGAGAAAAAGACAATAAATTTTAAAACAAGATGCTGGTGCAGAGGCATTTACCTATTTTTGCGTTGGTGAAAAATAATGATCAATCATTTTTCAAATTAATCAAACCTGTGTATTTCTGGTTGAAGTCATTTTATTTGTACACCTTTAGCTATTAAAGAGAGAAAATGAGTTAATTTCAAGGATTGTTACAATCCATATAAAAATAAAAAGTATACAGGCCGGATTTAAAATTTGAAATTTGTGTAATGTAGCAGATACATAAATGCAATTCCTTCTCAAAAATAGTTCCACTGACACATTTTTCGAAATGTCGCAACAAATGAAACCATAGACCTAGTAGACGCTGCATTTACATTGATAGAATTATATTATTATTATGCCAAAAACCATATGGATTTTTTTCAGTTACTTAAAATCCGTTTCATTTTTGAATCAAATTTGAAAAATTATTATCGACCTAAATAATTGAAAACCGTGATGGGGCCTTATATGCTTCAATAAAGTAGTTTTTATACTGAAATAGATTATTCTAAATTTGTAACTGTGGGTGTATGCCGAGCTCTTCAACTAATCCAGATGAACTAAATGTATTTTGGAACCTCACTCGTGGTGAAAATTATTATGGAAACAGAAAATATCGTAGAAAATCTCGCAATGGTCACTTTTCAGTTACATTCGTTATTTAAAAACTTATATTTTCACATTTTGTATGCATATATGGTTAGAATAGAAGAAATTACTCGGAACAAAATTGTATTTTTTTTTCAGTGAAGCACTTTGCGTATTTTTCAATTTTTGGCTGCAGAATAACAAATCATTCAGGAAAAGTAACGATAAGGATTTTATTCCAGAAAAACTTAACAACAAAATTAAAAATAATTGTTAAAATCCCGGAAAAAAATGATTTTCAAATAACGAAGATAATAATTGTTCGTTTCGAACTTTTTGCATACCTGTATATTGAAATTTTACAAATATACTGACTGTCAAAGATTCCTGTAGTTTTCATTAGAAAATGTGTCAATAAGGTTGTGGGAAAAAATTAATTTCATAAAATTTCTAAATTACTTTTCTTAAGTTCTAAAACCCTGTATTTATTTTTCGAAGATTGTCCGCGACTACTCTTGTGGAATTGGGAGATTGAAAAAACATAGTAAACGAAATCCTCAACGGTTATAGAAGGCTACATACACGAAACCGCATCACAGAGAAAAGAAACGGTTAACACAGTGTTAGGTGTTTCTAACTGGTCAGGCACAGCATTACCCAAACTGGAACCAGTTTTTTGATAGTAATTATGTGCCGGAAATAGGTATTTGGAAAATTCTATTGATAAATATGAAAAAAAATCCATGCTTAATGGTGTTAGTACGCATAAAAATTAATAAAGCGTGTTATTTACTAGTGATTTCAGTATTATAATCGTAAAAAGTAGATTTGCTGACGGTATAAAACACGTTGAACTGATAGAGAATCACGTAATAGTCTCAAATTATTATTAAAATTTGTAATGTAAATGTAACACTGCCAGTACTTTTCAGCAATTTACAAAAGGCAAATCTCAACGTTTTACCTTGGTTACAGAAAAAAAAGTGTATCTAATAACGTAATTATTTTTGTAATAAAAATTGCTTCTGGTAGAAAATAGAAAATTATTACAAATTACATCAATTATAGAGATAGTTTCAATTACACATTGTTGCTTGTGGATTTTAACATTTTACAAATGATAATTTCAACTGTCCATTTACAGTTTTAATAGATTTTTATAATGATGGGTCAAGACATTTATTTTCGGAATCAGTCTACTGTTAATTGCAAGCACGCAAAAGAAAGTAAATAGAATCACGAAATTAAAATAAAATCCAGGCTACGTAAAAAATATTTTATTGAAACGACTGTTGCAAGATAATTTTTAACAGCATTATCATCAATTCATACTGTCCATTTTAATCACTAGAAATATAAAATAAATAAGGTAGCCATAATAACGAAGACAGTAAATCAATACATAAAAATTATTATTACAACCTGACAAAACTAATGACTAGTTCTTGTGTTCCCCTTCCAACGAAAAAATATTTTTAGATATCACAAAACGTCTACCTAATACAATTGTGCTCTGAGTTTATTATGTAATCTCTCACAATTTTAAAGCGGAAATAGAGATAAGTCATAGTAAAGCACGAAACAATGCTTTGCGATACACTTTGTTTATAAAACATTAAGTAGTATCAACACTTTATGCTATCACAGAATTAAGAACTTTTCTTAACACTAGTGTAAAATTAACTCGATAACAGGGTTGGAATAAGTACAAATTTTACAATATTTAAATAAATTTGACGAAACTTATAAAGAAAAAACAATTTTTACAAAACAATAACAAAGTTTTGTGATATCTCAATCGACGAACGAAAACATAAAATGCCCTATTAAATGCACAATTTTAAATGCCTATAAAAATAGTTACAATTTTAACGTTTTGTCATAAAATTTGCGAACATACAGTTGGAACAATCATAAGGAGCTCATTTTATTGAAGAACGTATCACAACCACAAATGATATATATTAAAAAAAAGAAACAAATAAAACTGCTGGAATGATCCATGCTCAATTTGGAACTAGTGTACCTTTGATTTCATTAGTGGATACTCTGCAGTGACCGGAGCACTCCTCCTTTTACTGCGTTTCTCACCCGACATATAGGCCTTATAAAAGAACCTCGCGAATAGCACAAAGTAACTCAAATACATGGCAATTGACAGTTTAATATTAAATGGGGTTATGTGGCATTCGGCTTGGCTTTGCAAAAGCTGGTGTGCCCATATATTCACAGCGCATCCAACGACCATTTGCAGGAGTTGCAAGGAAGTAATCACCATAGCGATCTGGCGCGGTGGGCTATACCCCATGGCCCTCAGGGCATAGTAAGTGTACATCACAGAATGGACACAGTAATTCATCACAATGAACCATCGGGCACTTGCCGTGTACTCGGTATAACTGAACCAAGAGTAGAGGAGGACGGTTATGTGGTGATACCAATGCAGGAAGATCAGCGGCTGTTTCCTTAAAACTATGAAGATGGTGTCACCCAACTCTGGAAGCTTGCTTAGCACGAACATCCACGTCCAGAACCCCGAGACTTTGTCCTGCTCGATGAAGCTGGGCACGCAGACGGAGTGATAAAGCCCGTGATGCGTTAGGGTGTGTAGGAACTCCGGTACGGTCCTGCACGCGCCGATGATGCTGAACGTCGCCAGCAAGGTGTTCCACAGCGAGAGGACGCCCCGCAACTCGAACCGGGGCCGGTTCTGCATGAGGTGCTGCCCGCCGAAGATGAGCACCATGTAGATGCCTACGTAATAGAAGCCCATGGTCCAGTTGTCCTTCATCCACGTGCGGGTCTCCTGGTGGATGAAGCCGGACTCGAAGTTGAAGATGTACGAGTAGTTGGGAAGCGTAACCTGGTTGTACTCCTTCATCGTGGCACTGGGCGACGGACACTCTCGACTTCCACACACTGCTGCACTTTTCAATCTGCAGACGACACAGGAATTTGTCGGATATATCGGATGACCGGACCGCTGCACGCCCTAACTCACCACACCGCCATAGTCCGCGCTTGCGTCCCGCTGACTCTCTGCTCCTCTTTTTTCGTTCGCTGTCCCGACAGATGTTCCCTCTCTTTTTGGCAAAGTCGTGTGGTAAAGATCCAATTGCGACCGGCAACGGATTTGATTTGATTCTTGCGGGATTTTCGCGGACTCAACAATCAAATGTTGAGTTTAAAGTTTAAGTGTTCGGGGCACCGGCGAACTGACACTAATTAGAAACGTCTAGATGACAGTATTAGATAAAATTCAACAACTTACCGGTAATCGCGATTGTAAATATAATCTCTAAATGCTCCGAAAAATACCACGTTAGATAACTATTCAAACAAAAACGATCTTGGAGTAAGGATTTTGTCAATAAAATAAACGGGAAAAAAACAAAGTATAAAAGGTACAATGTCGGTGAGGTGACAGTTCTAAATGACGTTTTGTTAGTTGTTTTAAATGACAGGCAAGAAGTGACCACTTTTTTAAATCCAAATTTAATCAACACAAAATATACGGACAAGATTGCGTTGACCTCCGTCTGATTTTAACCATTTTGGAAATTTGGAATAACCACTTCTGAATGAATAGGGGCCCAAAATGTCACTAAACTAGATTTTTTTATTACAGGTGGATGGCACGACTGCATAAACTTTAATTTGATATTCTCTTCAATATACCTAATATATTTTTTTTTTTGCACTAAAACCATTTATTAGTTCAACACTCGGGTGTGGTTATTGTACTTTTTTTTTTCTTTTTTAGAAGATGAAATACGTAATAAATATTTTACGTTAATTATATTAATTTTGACATCAATTTTTTTCTTCTATTTCAATGTCTTGATTTTTATTTTTAAAATCAAATATTAATACCAACCGAAGAAAATTAAACCTCACAGTGATTTTTGTTAAAATGTTGTATTAATATTAATTTTGACATCAATTTTTACTTCCCGAACGTAAGCTAAGGAAGTATAGGAATCAAGTCCAACAGGTGAATTGCTCCTTTCATTTTTTTCTTCTGTTTCGATGTCCTGATTTTTAATTTTAAAATCAAATGTTAATACCAATCGAAGAATTAACACCCACAGTCATTTTTGATAACTTTTTGTTTTAAGTTTTATGAACTAGGAGAACTGGTAATTTTAAGCAATAAACTAAACAGTCTGGAAGGTGTCAAAGTCAAAGGCAATATTGAATTAACAACGATTAGAATCTGACGTAAAAAAAACACTAATTTTAATATTAGCAAGCTAATGAATATGTAGGGATCAAAACTTTTCATCGAAAAAGTTTATTTTCAAAATTCAGAATGCTCTGCAGGATTTATTGACATTGATATTTGAAGGTTTACCGATTTAATCAACGAAATGAAAAAATATTTAGACAGCCGACCCTAATCTGAAAATTTTTTTATAAGCTAACACACCACATTTATCGTTACCTGATATTTAATTTAACTTGCACAATGGGATCTCTAATCTTTTAATAGAACTGATGTTTTGAGAATTAGTTATTCATTATGTTAAGAATTGATCGAGATAAAAAAATAGTTCTTATGAACAGGCGAAAAAACAGTTACGAATTTAAAACTTAAAAACAAATAAAATTTTAGAACTGTAATTATATGAGGCATTTCAATGGAATGGATCCACCCTAAATTACTCAACTGTTGTTGTGTTTTAAGAAAAATCCAAAAACAAATTACCTAATTCTAATTTTTAGAGTGATTCATTCCGATGTGTGAATTGAACTTTCCACTGGTTTCCTTGGCCCCAGGTACCCCCACCCAAAAATTTTGTAAGGTGAGGGGGATCGGATGATCCTCCATTTGATTCTACTTTTAATGTTTTATGTAACTGCATAATTTTTTTTTATTTGTTAAAAATCGATAAAATGTTTCATGTTTAAAATAAAAAATATTATTTTACAAAACTTAACTACAACTTGTAACACTGTTGTATATCTCAAAACACTATTACTAACTTATTACTATTACATAGTTATTACTTCATTATTACTTGCTTATTAATTACATAGGTAGAACTTCTCGTGGCGAGAATCTCTTATATTTTATTTTTTTTAGTGTTCTAACTTCTCCAGAACTAAGAAAAACATGCTAAAACGTGATTTTCATAAATTCTATCTTCAATATCAAAAGTATATCTTTCAGTTTCAAATGCAGTTCATTGGCAGAAAATGTCGTATAGAATAGCCAGCTGGGTTACCAGATCTAAAGCCACATGATTTTTTTATAGGGGCAACCAAACCAGGAACTTCAGAAGAATTGAGAGTGTCAGCAAATAACTCCGACAGTTTTGCACAGTGTGCGGGAAGCATTTGAGTTTAAACTCGACTCTCACAAGGAAGTCAATGATGCTATTTTAAACACCTTATTAAATGAAAGCTAACTAATTACTGCAATTCATTCATCACAACAATTTTACATCTTGTTTGCTGATAAACGACAAATTACTTAACACTTAAAATGAGGTACTTCGTGTTAAGATTATTTTAACAAGACAGTAGCATTCCAAGTTCTTGTTTAGTAAAGTAAATAATCGTGTTTTTTAACTTTAAACGTCAAAGAATTTCACTGATTTTTAAACAAGTGGAAAACAAACTTCAAAATAATTTATAAAACCAGGCAGTATTAAAATAAAAATTGACTTATTCTTGGATTTTTTTCAAAATTCAAAATCTGGGAGAGAACACATTTATGTCTCGAGAATTCACGTACCTACCGAAAAAGGCAAATTTTAAATTAACAATAATTCTAGCTTAGTTTTAAAAGTTACGTTGTGGTTATTATAATATTTTAAAATAACCCTTAAACAGTTTTCTAAATCTAAATTAAATAATTAATAATTCATTGTCGTAGAATGGATTTTTAAAGATTTGCCATTGATAATTGCATTTTAAACTCAAACTGTTCCGTTTTTCAGTAAATCGTGCAAGTCAAATCGTTAGTTTTGACTTCATATGGAGTCATAAACATGCAAAGTTCCAACTTAACGTATAATACGGGGGCTGTTAAAGTTATTAGCATTGTAATCACTATTGTCACGTAACAAATTCACTAGAAAACTACGGTATGATTCATGATTATTATTCAGTAAATTTGTTGTTATCTTTTAAAAAAAACTATCAAGTTAGAACCAACTGAAATTTAATTTAAATATTTGTTTTCTCTGTGCAATGGATTGATCTATGTAACTTTTTGCGACCACGCGTAACCGTTTTTTCAGTGTTAACAAATCTCCTATTCATGAAAATAGTTTCCGACGACCTGCGAAAACAGTGTCCTGTATGTAATTTAGTTAATTCGGAAAAACAGTCAGGAATCTTATAAAATTCATTTCTCCCTCAACCCGATTGACTAATTTTGGTATGCATAAAAACTTAAGTTTGTGCTCCTTCAAGAATATTATTTGCTTGCTTAGGTGAAATTTTAGTTCGAAGATAAAATCCCATACATTTAAAAAGAGGCCTTATAGAGTCCTGTCGTATTTACCTGGCAACAATTTCAAAATGAATGCATATGCTGCTTACAAAAATTCACAATTCCGGACAGTGATCATCGTCCAATAAGCAGAAGTCGGATGTTAAAGATTCAAGTCCACGAATAAATTGACGGTTTCGATTAATTTGAATTATTATTCGTGTAACTAGTGCAAGTAATGCTGTTCTGATAAGAGAATGAAGTTTTTTAACAAAAAAAAAAGCAAAAATCGCTAAAAAGTTTTAAGATAATGAAAATAAAATGGAACTTAAGCTAAGTCGATTTCCCACACACTATTCACCTCATTTTTAAGAATTATGATTCAGGTAGAGGTTTGGCATCAAGATTTAATAACAAAATTCAACGCAAAACATTAATACTTTAAACTTCCACCGTATAAATATAAAAATAACTGCTGATATGAAACGCGAGACACCAATTAATTATTTGTCAACAGTCCCGTAACGAGAATTCTTATTATCTGTAACCACCTGTTTAAAGGTCTTGTTTATGTTTGTTATCTGTACACTATTATTTATTATCTTTTAAACAGTCGATCGGTGGGATGCAGATTTGAGTATAAATTTTAAGTTTCTACATCAGCTGACACAGACTGGAGTTTGAGACTAATCAGATGATATCGCGTGTGAATAATTTTAAGGCAAAATATTGCTTTACTGCTTCGAAGAGATAAAGAGGTCAAAATACAAAATAACACGAAGATGAAGAATGTATCGGCACAACAAACTTTTTTTTTTCTCATAAGTGCAACAGGTGTTTATGGTAATTGTATTTAAAATGAATTTTTGTGAACACTTTCTGTTTTTGACTAGTAAAGCATAGAAAAAACAGACTTGGTGTGATCATAATATGGACGATTTTATTAGACAGATAATTTTCCAAACTACTGAACAGATGTTGTGAAATTTTGGGTTTCTTTTGAGAACTTCGTGTAAATGCTAACCGAAATGTCTGTTCCTTCCCACCAAAAATAGTAATGACGTCATCTCAAAATTTTCCCAAGCATATATCCTACTTAAAATTTGCAAAATAATAATATATTAGTATTATTAATCAATTCATCAATTAATCATTTAATAATTTACATGTTATCAACAAGCAGTTGTATATTTATGTACAGAAATTATTTAAAAAAATCAAGTAATAACATTTTTAGTTAACTGTGTAATGTAATATTGTGTTAGAATAAACTATAGCCCATTCTTTAAATCGACCGTACTAGAAACTTGTTTGTTTGTTTAATTCCAGTTCGTTAAACTGAAATATGAATAGACTTATAAATGAATTGAAAGTCTTCGGTTAAGTGTATCACATGCAAAGTGTGAAAGGTGAAACGAATGAGGTAAAAATTTACATAGTGTAGTGCAAGTGTAGTGAGGCGTCTGTGGACATTTGTGGTTCAATTTTTTAAGCTTGCATTTAGTGCAAATAAGTCGTAAATGTCCGCAAGTCAGCGTTCTACGAAACATATTTTTTTTAACTTTCACACAAATGCTTGTTTGACCACATTAACCTCCAGTTTTTTTTATCTACAAACAAAATGACTTGCTGGTTTTTCAGAAAACTTAATTAAACACCAGAGATGAAGAGATTATCTCAAATCTGAGCCTTTTTATTAAAAAAGAATAGAAAAAGAGGTTTCCAGAACGTAGACAATTTGCACAACCATCAATAATAATTGTCAAAATTCAAAAATCAGTTGTATTAGAAATGCGTTATATTGGCTTTGAGTTTGTTTATCGGAACAGATTAGAACCAAGCAGACTAGATCAGAGCAGTGTTACATCTCAGGTGATGTCTGGATCAGTGATATATAGGTATCAGGCGACGATAGAGTAAAGTTTAAGTTTGTCATCAGTTTTATTAGTGCATATCGTGGATGTTAATTTTGTTGTTAAATTCTTTTAGTCTTTCTTAGTTTGTCTTTGTTGTGGACATTATACACAGTTTTGATTGTTTAATATTAATAAATTTTGAAAATTGTGCTTTATAATAAAATTAAAATTTGTATTAATATAAAAATAAAAAAAAGTTGTTTCAAAATATTTTCAAACTAGATCTTTGTTTTTCCGAAATACTGTCCTAATAGTTATCTGTCTGGCTTGACAGAAATTAAATTATTATAAATATTTTGCAGATTCTATAATAAAGCATAATTTTGCACTTAAAGTTATGAGCATGTATAGAGTTATAGACATCATTTAAAAGTCAATTAATCGAAAAATTATACAAGTAGTTGTCGCGCATATCTGATAATAAAGGCCACAATTTACATATAATGCGAAATGCGTAACATGGAAGAGGAAGAAATATTTTCTTGTTGTTAATTTATTAAATTAGTCAAAGTTTCACACATTTCAGATCAGAAAATCATTAATAAGGAATTACATAGTTGAAAGGAAACTGTGGCATCGAAGGTGATTTATTTTGTTTAAACAATTGACCTTTTTATGGAATCACAAACTAAATTTTACACACTAAAAGTTAACACACATGTTTCAACTTGAAGGGTGGCATTCTGGCATTTCGCCAAATACCCTAAACCTGCGAGAACACACGCGTGCGATTGCTTATGTCATGGAAACGAATTTTTGGTATTTTTAATTTTTACTTCCCGAACGTAAGCTAAGGAAGTATAGTAATCGAGTGCGTCGGACGAAATGCCACTTTTATGTTTTCTCGACGAAAAAACTTGTCTTCCATTTCCGTCTGTCTGTTTGTCTGTCTGTCTGTCTGTCTGTATCCATTTTTAGATACGTAATTTCCGAAACTGCTGGACCGATTGTTGTCAAATTTTGTATGTATATTAGAAATATCGTGTAGGTGGTTAAATGCTACCCAAAATTTGGATAATCATCCTCACCATCAATGGGATGACGTCATCTCCAAAATTTGTAATAAAAAGTTTTTTTTTTATTTCATAAAATAAGATACTCCTACACTTGTGATGTGTGAATCCCTGTCAAAGTTTCACCCTAGACATTCAGAATTTTTGGAAAAAATTCACAACTGAATAAGTGAATAACAATATTTTGCAATTAAACTTTGAATTTATTCGTTTATCTCCTCCCAAAAAATTGATGACGTCATCTCAAAATGTGGAAAATATGATTCTTATACAGAGTGACTGATAAAAAATAATGAATGAGTCAATTTATTTTATTGATTATATCGGGAACGGCTTACTCCGTTTTCCCGAAAATTTGGGAATACAATACTGTTATCATTATTATTACTCTGCACCTATCGAAAGTGATATACGTGTCTTTGCAAAAGGGTTCTCATAAAAAAATAAAAATCGCAAAATCAATTTATAATTTTTCGAAAAAAATCGATTTATTTTATTCTATTTCAGGGGCTTCAGATTGCTATTACCTAGTGCTGAAGGACATTTTATCACGTTAGTTATGTGCTTTAAATATATTCTACATGGTCCGTACGGCGCAGAGGCTGCGGGGGTGTTATTTATTCCACTGGTGTTTACTTTACAGCAGTTATCACAAAACGAAAATCATAAAATCAAATTTTATAATTGGATTTGTCGAATTATACTTATAGCCTTATTAGACCAATTTTTGTTTTTTGTTATCAAATTAAGAACCATTTCTAGAAAATGTGAGAACACCCACGTCATGTAAATTGGTTATGATCAAATAAGAATAACAATAATAATCATATTCAAAACATTTTGTTCCATTGTGGCTTAATTAATAATTTTAGTCCTCTGTTTTGAGGAAACAATTCATCCAAATTAAACAAATTTCTACGTGACATTCTTTCGATGTATAAACATAAACAATCGAGGTTAGGCATGTACACTGATAATAATACACTCTTTTCTGATGGTTATTTGCTTTAAGTATAGCAGGTGGTTCAAGGTGTCATTTACACCACTGGTTTTTAATATAAGTATAAAGGTTATCAAAGAACAAAAACTTTTTATAATTTTTCCAAAAAACCGAATTTATTGGACTGTACTTCAAGAGCGTGAGAAGTTCTGTCGAAGTAGCCTTTGACCAATTTTTTTCAAATGCATCAGTTTCTCAACGCAAAATTTAAATTTCAAGTTCAGGATACCACATTGTGTTACGTGGATTTTTAACATCTCCTGAATTAAAGTGTAGACTTAAGTATCATCTACATAAGCCTGTACTTAAATAGTGTGAAAAAATATCAATAATAAGTTTAAACTCACGATCAAAATCTATTTTTTAACAATTGTACATTGTTATCTGAATTTAAAAATATTTTATATTTTGCTTCGTTTTTTACATAACGTAGCTATCTTTTCACAACAAGAAACTTAAAACCTGTAATAAATAGTGAATTTTTGTGGGGAAATATGGATTTTGTAAGTATACTTCACCCCTCGGTCTAACAACGAATGAAAAATTCATCACAATTGAAATCGGGACTTTTTTTAAATATAGTTTTCTTCGAACAACGCGATTGTTAAACATGTTTTTAGTTTCTTGTAAGTAAAGGAAGACTACGTATATCAAGAAAAAAAGACAAAATGTAAGCCCCGCCCACCCGTCCTATTTCAAACGTGATATTTTTTTTTATTCGTCGTAAGTCAAGGGGCGGAGCTTAGCTGCAAAATCCTCATTTATCCACAAGAAATTACCATGTGAAATATATTTTTAAAACGGTAAAATTTTGTAGAAAACTATGGATTTTGCTATTACACTCCGCCCCTAGGTCTGATAATGAATGAAAAATTCACCACAATTGAGATCTGGGCGGGTATAAAGGTCTAATGTATGGTTTTCTTTTTTACTCAATACTTAAATAAATGTCTGTAGTTTTCTGTGAGCAATAAGATTACTTAAAATCTACTTGAGATGGTAATTTGATGTAGAAAAATAAGGATTTTGCAATTAAGCTCCGCCCTCCGATTGATATAGGGCGGGTGGGCGGGGCTTATATTTTGCCCATTTTTTCTTAATATACGCAGTTTTCTTTTCACAGCAAGAAACTTAAAACATATTGAAATTGATAAATTTCTATGGGGAAATACAGATTTTTGCAATTACACTCCGCCCCTCGACCTGATAAGTGATAACGAATGAAAAATTCATCGCAATTGAGACTGGGGCGGGTATTGGTATCTTTGGCTTTGTTTTTTACCCAAAACATATAGTTTCTTTAAAAAACACGATTACTTAAGAACATGTTTTATATAGCATTTTTTTGTACAAAAAAATTGCAGTTAAACTCCATCTCCTGACACACTACGAATAAAAAAAATCACCACAATAGAGATAGGGTAGGTGGGCGGGGCTTATATTTCGCTTCTTTTTTGACATACGTAGCCTTCTTTTTACAACAAGAAACTTAAAACCTGTCCAAAATAGTAAATTTTTGTGTGTAAATATGGACTTTGTAACTACGCTTCACCCCTTCGGTCTAACAACGAATGAAAAATTCATAATAACTGAGATCGGGACTTTTTTTGTATAGTTTTTCTTTGAACAACACGATAGTTAAACATGTTTTTAGTTTCTTATCAGGAAAAGAAGACTACGATACATTTCAAGAGAGATTTATTTAGCGATATTTTGCTATGGTGTTATTAATTTTTTTAACAAATTGAATAATAAATTTAATTTATTGGTTTATCGTCTCTACGACAAACTTTAACATTTGTTTTAAAATTTTCGGAAGAACGGGTGAAAATTCGGAATAAATTTGTTGAAATGAAAATGGATGCAAAAATTTAAACTCCCCATCATTCAGCCTATTGAAAAACAACGAAAAATGCGTTGAATACATATTCGCCCAATGAGTTGTATATGCTATAATTTTAAATGACCAAAAGTTTAGGGCTTTTTACCATGCTACCGGTATTTTTGACTCGTTATTTTGGCTTAAAATAATTGGTTTAATATGCTTCTGATAGGGATATTTACACATCCATGTGTTTTCCTGTTGATCTTCTTGATGAATGTAGACTAACTTTGGATTATACCGACTATTAAAAAAAATCGATAGTTTTGGTTCATTTGTAGTGAAACATCCTGTACATATGCACGTTTTGACATCTGTGGGGACAGCGTCGAAGTTTGACGACTGCAGCGGATGGCATAGTAGATTTTTAATTTTTTACCATTGGCCCCCTGCCATGCGAGATGACACATGACACAATCTGTCAAATTGATGAAAATCGAAGTGACGTTGACGTTAGTAATGTCAGTAATGTTTACGAGGTGATCAGAAAATAAATTCGCAAAAAACTTTGTCGAAGGGTAAAATTTAATAATATTTAGTTGGATGAGTTATGAATAAACCATGTCGGACCATCAGCAATATGAAAGAATTTACAACTTTCTGTCTTCGCTCAAGTGTGCAGACGACAAAGTTGCGGAGATAAAAGACGTTTATGTGGATATAATTAACTCCAAAAGACGCTTGCACGCTATTAAATCGATAAAGGATCTATTAAAAATATTACAAAAGCGAGATCACATAAATCCGGAGAAAATAGGTGCTTTGATTGGACTAGCAGAATGCTTCGATGGAATACCTTTTGAAACGTTTACAGCTGCAAACACTGTGAATAATAATCAAAACGTTAATGGCAATATTATATACGTTACACAACCTTCACCAAATTTAGGTTAGTTTTATAAAATATGTTGTGTCTAATTAGTAATTGTTTTTGTAATTTTAGTTCTGCCTCGATTACCACCAGATCTTCGTGAAAGGGTATATCAAGTCATAGCTTCTGATATCGGAAAAAAGTGGACCGATTTTGCTCGTGCTTTACATGTACCAGAAGGGTACATTGATGAGCTCTATTATGCACAAAGAAATTGTCATAATAGGGTTTACGAAATACTCAGATACCATCAAGAACGTTGTGATCCACGGTTGTGGCGGAGTTCTCTGTTGGATGCACTTACAAAAGCAAGACGAAATGATCTTATGCAAAGAGTACAAACAATTTTTGACACACACTATCCCTAAAAAATAAATGTGATAAGCATTGTGCTAAATATGATGAGATGTATAATTAATTTATAAACCATGTCATTGTGTACATAGTTAGATTCATAATAAATTATATAGAGCAAGGGATGTTAACGTGATTCAGTATTGGTGTATGAAATTTTTGATAATATATTATATACAAACACAACAAAGTTACAGCTATTTAATATTTCATAGAAAATGAGAAATTAGAATACAAGCGTAATGTAAAATAAAAAATTAAATAAATATATTCAATGAAACCAAGTGAACTAAAGTACTAATACAAAATGTATCAGAAAATTTGAAATCAAAACATATTTAACAGTTATTCTAACTTTAACAGTTAAACTGTGTAAGAATTCTTAGTAACAGAACCCGACTTGTCCTGGGTATCCTTATGGACTTGATACCCTAAAACTGTTCTCTGTGGTATATGCAACCGTTCTTTCAATTTCTTTCCAATTTCTAAAACGGCACCAGTTTTGTTCGCGTCAGAAGTCCAAACACCTGAAGCAATTTATATTTAGAATGCAAATTACATCTAAATTAATCAGCATTACCTATTTTGTCACCCTTTCCTCTAATATTGACTACTGCTCCACATATTTCATCTGAATGTTCAAAAGCTTCACCAATCAAACATAGTATCTGCGAAAATAACGATTCAAAGAACTGACATCTAAAGACTGAAGAAACTTACAATATCTAACCAGTACCGATCAAGTTCGTTACTTCTTTGTTTCTTCTCTAAATTGATAAGCCAGCGACCTCCACGCTTATTGGCTTCATCTTCCCACATGGGTCGAATTCCTCTTTTAAATAATGAATAATCATTACCTTGTCGGAGCTCACTTGCTGGTTTTATGTGATTATACAGACTAAAACAAGGTATCAGAATAACTCTTAAACGCGAAAACATCGTAAGCTACCTCCAGAAGTCCTCAACCGTTTGGAAAGACGCGATTTCTTTCTGGTTCTTCTCCCAAGTCTGGCTTCTGTCATTTTCGTAATACCAAAGTGTCCAACAGTTTTGAAGCGGGTGTTTTATCGAGAAGTCCATCGCGATATCTACATCGTTTTCAGTCTTTAGGTCGTTTTTCTCATTCTACAAAGAAATACCAACGAAGCAAGAGATTACTATAAGTCATGTGAATATGCAATATGGCAGAATTTGCCGGGATTTGCGACATATTTGCAATTATACTGTTAATTGTAGCGTAAAGATCGGTTAATTCTTTTGATAGTATTAACAGAAACACATTACCTCGCTTTCTATTGAATTCGTAGACATTTTTGTATAGGAATTCGATCGCTAGCTCAAATTCCTTGAAATGAAAGTTTCTTTTTTCTACCTACTCAGTATTCACTGATTTCACTGCCAACTTCGTGGCATGAAAATCAACTGTACACGCAGTTGCAAGGGTGCCGAACCATGCAATATCAAGCGCGGGATTTTTAATTTTTAACCAAAGTCGGAAAGTGGCAGGTTGGTTGACTAACGCAATTTTTCTAATAGTAAATACTTGAAAATTCGATATTTGTCACGTATGTGGAAAATTCTAGAGTTATTGTTAAAATTGACAGTGACAGTTTAGTTAACTTTTAATAATAAAAAGTCTTTCGTCGTTATTTTATGTAAGCGACTCGTGCAGAGGAATTATAACGGCGGACAGACGGAAACGTGGCACATATTTTTCCATATTTTACAAAGTCAAGAAAGCAAAAAATTAAACATTTGTCAAAATGACTTTTCTAATAAATGTGTTGTAAATTTACCTTGTTCTACTCAGGCTTTTTCGTCCGCAATAACTTGTGTCATTTCAAAATACGTATAAATTTGAAAAAATTAAAAATAACACGCTTGACACAAGAGAGAACGAAAGATGTCAAATATTGGCTCATTTGGGGACACAAAAATGATCGAAAGTTATTTTAACAGAACTTCCCTCGCTTCTGAAGTACAGTCCAACAAATACTGTTTCTCTGAAAAATTATAGGAGGAAAATTTAATTTTGCGGAATTTTACTTTCATTGCTAAAAATAAAAATCAAGTAGAATTTTACTTTTTCGTGATAACCTCTATGGAGTAGAAACAATGCAGTTTCATCTTCTTAAAAAAAGACACTTGGGAGCCCCGAGAAGATTTTTGCCTTCTTTAAAAAAGAACAGTTGGGAACCCTGAGAAGGTTTTACATTAAAAAAACCAGTTGGGACCCCCGAGAAGGTTTTACGTTTTAAAAATGACTGTTGGGACCCCCGAGAAGGTTTGACATTCTTAAAAAAGACATTCGATGCCCCCGAGAAGGTTTTGCATGTTTAAAAAAGACAGTTGGGACCACTGAGAAGGTTTCACATTCTAAAAAAAGGCATTTGGCACCCCCGAGAAGGTTTTATATTTTTAAATAAAGAGGGGCGTATACTCATCTTTTTCGAGAAAGTGGGATAATTAATCAATCATCAATAAATAATATAAATAAATAAATCATAAATATAAAAAGAAAAAAAACCGCATTCCTGACCACTAGACCACTGCCGGGATGTCCTATGCTAATGGTAAACTGTTATTATAGCGTGCATATTTTTTTGCAAAAATTTGGACGGTTAGGCAAAAATTCAAAGCGGATTCGTACATAAGCATAGAATTCTTTGAAATGACGTCATCAAATTATTGGTGGGGATGATTAGCAACATTTTGATTAGGATTAGACAGACAGACATACGGAAACGGGAGACTACTTTTTTCGTACTCTAGGGGTCATGAAACGTCGAGAAAATATAAAAGTGGTTATTCGTTCGATGGACTCGATTACTATACTTCCTTGGCCTACGCTCGGAAAGTAAAAATTTTTATCAAGTTTTTCGGGGGCAATAGATACATTTTTTTTAACGATTTACCTTGGTTACGATAATCTTATAAGGTTTGCAAGATTTCAGAGCATTGTTTTGCAGTTTCTACTGTGGCAACCTAAAATTCCCGTCAAAATAAAGGTGCACAAAATTTTCAAACCCGCGAAAAATTCAAAATTTGCCCTTGAATTGTGTTCGACAACAAAATGGAACTCTAGTTGTGTTTTTTTTTTGTTTGGTGGAATGCGTTCAAATCCAAAGTGGTGAACCCTAAGGATGGAAAATCAAAATGCAAAATATATGTATAAGAAACATTGTTTATTTGTCTATGTACACTGGAGAGGTAAAAGCTGTTGAAATAAGTTGGACGGAACTTATTTCCCAGCTGCAAAAAAACCTCTCCCGCTTTCAAAAATTAAAAGTTAACACAAATGTTTACATATAACACATTTATTAAACAAGCACAAAGAGAACATAAACAGCCTTTAACTGGATGGTAGAGTAGTCTTATTTTCGAAGCAACACACAATAAATTTACACAGATGACAAAATTTCTTTCCAATTATTCAACTTCTTTAGATAGTTCTGAAACAGCGTTCATTAAAAATTAATATTTTCCAAAGTTGTAACTGAATTTAAATTGATCTTTTAACTCCGATGGTGTCCTTATTTCAAGCGCCTGCGATACGCCACTGAAACAGTATGGTGAGGCAGCAAATTTAAATTATGGAAGTTCAGAAATTAGCAAATGTGCTACAGAGGACGTTTGCTAATTTTGGACGAGAACCATTTCTCGGTGATTTTACTCTATTGACAGGTATTGCCTATGTCCAAAAAACCTGCCGCATATTATACCTTCTATCCCGTCTTCGCTATTACCGAACTGCGCATTTCCCCATGAATTTTCCAATTTAACATCTGTTATGACATGAAAAAAAAACCGTCAGCTTTAACTAAAAACGTGATCTTGTGCTTCCGTTTAAGTAAATTAAATTCAAATTTTATATTTCTCGAAGTTAAAACGATATCTGGATAAATACTAGAATTATCAGGAAGAAAGGAAGTAGTATTTAATTAGGTACTCTACACTCTATAAATAATTTTAAATAACCAAGAATTTACATAATGTTCACAAATTATATCGTCGTCGTTATATGCGGTCAAAATCAAAATAATAATTCGGGAATAAATGTTCAAACTCAAGCTGTTGAAAACATTTTACAAATTTTACACGTTTAAGATTAGAAAATCGCAAATTAAAGGGTCACTAATTACACTCGTTGAAGGAGACAGTGGCGTCGACGGCGATCCATCTGTGCCCATTGTGAAATCATACGAAGAGAATTCTACATACCTACTAATTTTAACAAGCGTTTATACTCAGGACTCCAAAGCAAGAAGTGGGGCCAAGAAATCTTTTTAAAAACATTCCAAAATGTCAAACTACCACCCTAAAGGCTGGCGTTCCGTCAAATACCCTAACGCTCTACCTATACATGGCTGAGTGCCTACGATGTGGAATGATTTTCTTATTTTTCAAATGCGATTTCCTGACGTTTTTTCGGTGCGAAATTTAATTTTTCAAATCGGGACATTTCACTACTTTGAAGTGCAAAATGTTGGGTAATTACGATTTTTTAAAAGCTGGGTAACCAAGGTAAAATATAAAGGTGGATTCACAAACTACATTGTGATAACCCAAACATCCCACCACCTTAAAATGACATGTGAAAAAAATTTAAAGCCCGCGAAAAATTAAAAAATTCAAAAAATGCGGAATGCGTTCAGATGCAAGTGGTAGACCACAAGGGGAAAAGTACCGTTAAATAAAACACAAAATATATGGAGGACACAAAACCATTTATTCCTCCACTGACAATGACATTGTGCAGGTTGAAGACCTTAGTTCTCAGCTACAAAAAAAAAAACTTGCCTAACTTTGAATGAAGCCAGATCAAACGTTCTGAATCAATGCAAATATTTGAATATTACAAATTTAATAAAGACAAAGAAAAATCTGAAACAAAGTAACTGGATGCAAATACACAAGTTATTACGGACGTGTGGCGACAAATTTAAAATTATGGCAGTCAACAACAGAACAAAATTTTAATAAAAATTCCTATGCAGCGCCACCACAGCGCCTATAAGAGTATGGCGATCGAACTATATCAATTTTATTCTAGAGCACAGCACAATTACCCATAGATGGCGTTGTAGCAGGAGCGGAGTTTGGGGCTCCCGGTTGTGGCTGTTCTTCCACCACGACGGTGATTCTACTCTACCGCAAGCATGCCGCCCAGCACCCCTCTATCTCACGAAGAAACGTGCCTCGCTAACAGGCCGTTATGGTCGCAAACTCGTGGTTGGAAATCCCGGCTATATATAATCCGCGAGCGTCACGGCATCCCGACGGCTCTCCTAACTTCTATTCAAGATTTGCGTCTTTTGTGCAGATGGCGCGACCGCCAGCTCGACAAGGGACCGCGCACTCCGCTTCCGCCACGTGTTTCTGTGTTATTTACCTCAACTCCATTTAAATGTTCAATTTCTATAACTCTGATATTAAACTACAACCGAACAAGTGTTAAAGTTTCAAAAAAAGCAATAACCACATTTAAATTCGCCATACACTCTCGTGAAATTTTACACAGCAAGGAATTCTTATCTGATTGGACATCAGATAATTTATATGATGGAAACATTAATCAACAAAAAACAAGAAAAAGTTCTGTTGTAAAGTAAAACTTGCGCAGACAAAAAAATTACTTGAGGTTAGGAACTGCAAAGCATAAAAATTTACGTTCAATTTAAATGATACAGCAAAGAAAAATACTGAGGCTAAAGTTGTGAGATAGAGAAAAATTGCAAAGCTAACAAAATTACTTACATAAGGTTAATTAATATTGCCACACCTCATCAACAATTCAAACAAAGAATTTACATGATGTGAAATTATACCTCAATCCCAGTGACTGGTTACTTAAAAAAATTAGCTTTGAGAGTTTATATATATCGTGGACTGTCCTCAGCTTATCCCAAACAAACACGTGATAAATAAACACAAAATGGATCCCTCGTCGCGAGAAATATGTCTCGTTGATGTCCAGATGATCACTGCTAAAAGGGAAAAAAATAATCCCCTCGTCCCTCAGTTCACGATATTATGAATTCTACCACAACATCCATGGTCCCTTTTCTCAGACTGGGATAACGTTAGGTTAATTTAACTGCCGCAAATGAACTATTACCCATCTTGTGTGAAGAATTAAGAAGTGTTATTATGTAACACTTAAGTATAAGCATCCAGAAACCTTATTTATAACTTGCTAAACAAAGGATGAGTACTGACTAAGTGAATTTCATGAAATCTCCTAGCAAATGCTTTATCTGAACAATCTCATGACTGTTAAATTGTGTTAGAACCGGTAACGATTAAAATCCTAACATGAACTGTGAATTTAGAAACAATTAATCAAATTTACACCACATGTTAGCGTCGGTCGAAAATTCACATATTTCCGATTAGTAAAAACGGCAAATCAACTAAACTTAACCTAGCTACTTTACCACGTGCTTTCACTCATTAACGATTTTCTTTTTTAAATTCAAATTATTCAAATGCGATTTCGCGCCGTTGTTTTTTTTTCAGGGCGAAATTGTAAGTCAAATTTGGTCACCCTCACCATAGCATAAGAGTTTACTTTGCAAAATTTTGAGATGCCTTCATCAGATTGTTGGTCTATTCTTAAAATTTATATAAACTAGTTTTTCATGTTCTGTGTCCCAGGACAGCTCAAAAAGAAATATAGATCAGAACTTTTACTCAAAACAGTGTTTTATAATGAAAACTAGAAGTATTAAATATTCACCAAACCACCAAGCGATAGTGTTACAAAATACACAAAAAACATACTTTTAATATATGACCTCGAAAAATGTTTGCTCTCAAATCCTAAAGGTTTCAGACCTCGGGCTCTTCACTTAGATCATATAATAAATACAGGGTCATTATAAAATATTGTAGTCAACTCACCTATGAAAAACAAATGAAATTTTTCTCGTGCCGCTAATCACCAAAATGATTTGAACTGTTTTGAAATGTCACGAACGTCCAAACAAATCTGTCAGATGTGTCAAAAATTGAAATGCCCGGTTCGCGGTTTAAATTCATTTTAAATAGACACGAAAAGACGCCAGGCCAGAGCATTAAGGGTTGCAGTGTTATCGGGCATTTGTGAACGCCACTGCAATACATTTCAGTTTCAAAAATTGTAAATTGTCAGAAAAACGTTTAAGGGCTTTGTCATGAATTACACCTTGGAAAGTCGATTGGAGTTGAACAGAATAAATCATCTGGTCTGTTTTGCAAAGAAGCAATAATTTTTCAAATAATGAAATCCAAAAAGTGAGGTTAAGTTTGTCGAAACCAATGAACACGGTAATTATTTAAAAAATTACATTTTTATAGGTACCCTGAAGGTAAAAATTGTGAAAAATCACGTAATGGACAATGGCAGAGCAAGTCTTATCACAGTTAACGAACACTATGAGTACATAATGAGTTTTTGCAGTAAATAATTTTGCCAAAGTTGTGATCCCGCGAAAGTTCTGTTTGTAAATTGAAAGGAATCGTCAAAATATTGGTGCAGACATGGTTTGTGACCGGTGCTTTTCTCTTGAAAAAACACAACTGAAATCCTTGATCTTCATCCCTACAATAGGTGAAAACTGCTATGTCCAAACATTACCTTCAGCTTTGCAGTTTCTAGATATCTGAAACATGCCAGATCTGCATAACAGGAATGTCAAAGAGGTTCTACCCAAAACACGCCCACATGGCCATCCTAATATCAAGATTTTTCAAAATTTCTATAAGAAAAAAGATGAAAAAACCAATAAAATTTCAGGAGCATAGTGTTAAGAGTTCTGTAGCTGATTATGAGATCTCTTGAAACAACAGAATGTTTAATAAAGATTTTTAACTTTCCTAATAGTAAAATTACAATTATTACTAAACAGTAAGTTGAAGTAAGTTTTAAATTAAGAGAATGCAACTAACACCGAAAGAAAAATGAAAGTTACTGAAAATAAAAAACTTTATTGCAGTACCTACATACACTTTCTACATCTAATTTTGTTTATTGATCACATTCATTTACTTGAAAAAGTATCAGGCCTATGAATCGTCGTCTGCTAACCACACACCAACCTTCATTGCGTGTGATGGTGTTTCTTCAAAAGCGTGAGTATTTTCTATACACCAAATTCTGAAGTTCTGTCAGTTGACATAATAGCCTAACAGATGAAACCAGGCTTCATCAGAAAAGAACGACAAATCGAGAATCCCGTTATCGTCCATATCAGCTTGAAACCAACTACACTACCCAACGCGGCAAGGAAAATCAGCTGGTTGCAGCTCCTGAACCAACAAAATCTTGTATGGATGCATATGTAACTTCTCTTTTACGATTTTCTGACATGGGCTGTATGGTACTCCGGACAGTAAAGATTTTTGACAAAGCTTTATTCGGACTTTGTTCCATTCTCATCCTTAAATCTTCAACAACGTCTTCACTAACTTGAGGTCTCCCCGTCGGTTTTCACTTAGAAATGCTACCAGTGTCGTTAAATCTGGCCATAATTCGCCATATAGCGTCTTCAAAGATTCTTCATCAATGACAACAGAACATTTCACTAGATACTCGTTTTTAGACGCCTCCACAGAGTACACTCCATCCCCATCCTCATTTAACACCCCATTACGGTAATAGGCATGATGATTGCGCCAAAGAACTAAAAAAATCATTTGTAACACTGACCATAGTTATTCCTCTCTGTTCATTACCTGAGATTATTCCACAATGATCTGTAATTTTGATAAAAACTGTTTTTTGAGACACTTATTAAAGTTCTAACAAAGGGGAAGACAGCAAAAATGAAAACAAGACAAGTCAATTAACGCACAAAGTGAGGGAAAACGTACCAGTACAAACGAAAAAATTATTGACATCTGACAGAATTTGATGAAGCGTTGAAACAGTGCAGCCGCTAATGTCAACTAATGTGGCGCTAAAAATAAAAATTCCAATATTAGTGTAATCCTTTCCACAAAACTGAAAAAGGCGGCACAAAATGTCACCAAAATCATGGCCTTCTTCGACTACAATATTTTATAATGACCCTGTAGATACCAATACTCAAACTGAAAGGTGTGACTAGACATGAAGCTATCTGTTGTCGTTTTCTACGTCCAGGGGAGTACTATAATGCTATCCTTGTGTGATCACCACATCTTCATCTTTGTTATATGCATTTCATCTGTATATGTCTATTTCACTTCCATCCTTGTACCGCACCAGCGCAACAAGTCGCTTTTGACAGATGTTTCTTCTAACCTCTCTTTCGAGTTGTTGTACAAAAAACAATTTTAGAATTTAGAACAAAGATCCTATTTTAAGTGATGTAGTCATAAAGGATCACAATTGCTGCCCAATAATTGACTATTGCTTTCGTTATCTACTGTGAATTATTTATAAAATCAAGCTGTCAACATCTTTCTTCCGAAGTTAGTTCAGACATACTTCCTAAAATTTAGGCGCGCAAAATTCAAATGGTGATCAGGCAAGGATAGCTTCATTGTAATCCCTCCATGCACGAGAGAGGTGTGTGACAGGAGGATGTCGTCACAGGCTGTCCTAGGGAAAGAACACGGCATGGTGGTATCTATTTATTATATGATCTAAGGCTCTTCAGTTGAGTACTTAATTGAATTTTATGCAACCAGTTTACCACGAAAACCTTACAAAATAACGTTTATCACTATGCAACAACATATTATATTTAGTAATTCATCTCTGAATAATGTCAATCTTCAAATTTTCAGATTATTATTAACGAATATGAAAGCAAAAAACAACGGACCTAACACTTAGCCCTGCGGTAATCCAGATATCTACTTAAAAGACGAAGGACCTAGGTCTTAGAAAGATTCAGTATACATAAGGTCCACCTGAATTTGGCGATCGAGATGTTTGCAGCAGGAAATTTGATTACTCATGTGTCTATGTGTATTGTCATGTAACATAAATTCTAGGGATGTACCGACTAGTGGCCGACCGGTCGGATAAGCCGACTATTCGGCTGTTTTTCATCGTCGGCTACAGTCGGCGACTGGTCGGCTAAACAGCCGATCGGTCGGCTTTTTTTATTAAAATTAAAATAGTATATAAAACAATTAAACCCGGTTTACATAACCTCAATTAAATATTTAATTGCGATTTAATTTTTAACCCCGCGTTAAACTACCATGTGACCGGCTCTACGCCAATCAGACATCGCTAATGGCCTTATTAAATGCGCGATTAACTTAATCTCAGTTTAAATTTTGTATAAACTGGCCCTAAATTGTGTTATTCTTTATTTTTGTACTGAGTTACTAAAAAAAATTAAATGTTAAAATTATCCAAACAAATTTAACACATTTTTTGGGAAACAAATGAACTTCAGTTATTCCTTTTATTAAAATAAACAAATTTTTAAGGTAGTCAGAGAAATAGAAAAAAAAACACACTGTCTGTCGCATTTATAAACCGGTTTTAGCAAAGCCGAACAGTCGGCCGACTAGTCGGTTTTTACTGGCCGAACAATCGGCTAGTTGGTTAGTCGGCCAGACCTATAGTCGGTACATCTCTAATAAATTCCAAAACTTTACTAAAATTGCTAAAAACAGAAATCATCGTAAAAAAGGAAAGCGACTTTAAACCCTCCTACAAATTTGAACCACCTCAATAAAGAATAATAATAACTGGACGATTTTATTGAATTTTATTGTGGAATTAAATATAACAATAGTATTTCTAAAGCAAAGCCCTGTATTTTTTAAAAGCATAACAATTTTTAACAATCCAAAATTTACCATGTACGCATATTTTACAATCGAGAGTTAAATTCTAACAGATACATTATAAATATGAACATTAATAATAACATTTCTGTTAATGAAGCATTTATATAGAAATTACTGACATGACAGTAACAAAAATTAACATAAGTATTCTCAAAAGAAATTAAATCTATCTACTCAATAGCACCAAAGTTGCTCATTTCATAAATGCTATAAAGCTGTGTACATATTATCTACAATATTATAATAATAATATACAATAAAAAATTGTCAAAACACCTTAACATTAAGAAGCAATAACAACCATAAGTGATAACAAATATAATGTTACTTATATTGATGTGTTTACCATAAATTTTGATATATAACTTTAAGGCAACTTTAACTTGTATTGTGTCATTTTATTGATTTAGAATATTCTACGTCCAATATTGCTGACATCCACCCAATGCTTACATTTGCACGTTGTAAGTTGTTTTTTTTTTGTTTTTTCGTTTAATATGGCAAATCATAATTAAATTGATCTCAAAAATAAATACATTTATTCTAACTCTAAAAAAGCATATTAATAAAAAATAATCCCCCTAACAAACAAGAAGGAAACAAATACTGTACATCAAAATTTAAATAACGAAATTATTGAAAATTTGATGTAAGGTGATATAGTACCATTCTATTTTTTTTGCATTTTTTCTATATTTTTTAAGAGAGTGTATTCTGTATATTGTGTCGTGTGTGCGTGTTATCCAGTCAAATGTTCCTATTTCCTTTCCTTACTGAGCTACCTTTGTCATTACGGTCACTGAATTAAAAAAATAAATTGTAATAACATTACAATATCTACATCAATTTCTGTTTGGCGCATTCGGGACAGATTATATCGTCTTGATCGGTAATGAAACCGCGGCCCACCAGACTGGTACGGCAAGAGGCACAGAAAAAGCAATCGTTGTGCCAGTGTCGGTCTTCAAACGAGATGAACTTCGTGCCTCCAATACCGGTGATTGGTTTGTTGCAGGCAAAGCAACGTTTTGCGAACAACTCGCCGAAACATTCTGCACAATAGGGCTTCTCGTCGCGGCTGGTGAAACGCTCTCCGGCGAGGCTCTTGGAGCAGTGGGTGCAGGTGAAGCACTCTCTGTGCCATGGCTCGTTCTTGTACGTTACGCCGCCGCTAGTGATAACCTTAAACAATTAAAATCGCATTTACAAAACGATCAAAATTCCTGAAGTCACAAATAAGGATTAGAAAAGTTTCGACGGATGAAGTCATCATGTACCCATTGTCGTTCTCAACAATGTGGCACAAAATTATGCAATCGCGTCATTACGAAAACATCAGGGATATCAAGAAGATATTTATCAAACATAGTTTGAATTGCATTACATTATTATAACATACTCTCTTACCTTATTACATTTAATGCAACGGGTGGCGAATTTCTCTTCATAACATTTGGCACAGTAGATTTCTTGTTCACGAGGAATGAAACTCTGGGTACCAATGGGTACTTTACATACACAACAGCAGAAGCATTTTTCATGCCACTGCCGTGTTTTATATTCCATCTTCTTTGTTCCTGTAAAAGAAACGTAAATTATTAGACGATTAATCCAACTTATTTTATTAGTTTTATTTCCACTTTATAACTATTTTACAGGTTTTTGATATCGAAAAAACATTGCCAAAAAATTTGTTATCATAATGGTGTTTCATTAAGCTCACGGTTGAATCTGTTGTATGTTTAAAACAAAATTTTCGAAATTCAAAATTACGAATATTTAACCTTTTAAATGAGACCGCCTGTACAGCAAGTGTTTAATTTATTTCAGCGCAACTTCTTGCATTAATTAGTGATCAATTATTTGATTTTTACTTTATATATCGCTTATTGGGTCAAGATTAAATTGTTGTCTTAAGTTTTAATGCCAACGGAAGTTTGTACAATGATAAAATAGAAAATTATAGAATATTTTTTGTAAGATAATATGCACATTCTTACGTAATACATGACAAAGTGTTAAATTTTATACAATTGGGGGAGCTCCCATAGGATTACAAGTGCATTTTACCACGGCTTGCATGCATGATTTTTTTAAATACAAACAAATTTTAAATCAGTAGAACATGAGTTTTAAATTTTAAGTCCTTATCGTACCACCGCACCAAATTAAAGTTGCGGTTGATCAGCGGAATTGAGTAGATGGAAACGTGGATAATGACATAAATACGTTATTTAATAATTACTATAATATCCATGACGAATTAAGATAATCAAATAATTTTATTTTGGAACATAATAGTCTAACTGATGCTTAAAAATTTCTCATGAGTCGAACTTGATACTATTCACTACTGACAATCTCTCTCTCTCAAAAAAATAATAATAATAATCACATATATATTTAGGACCAGCCACGAGAGCCTTCAGTAATTTGTTACGATCAATAGCAATAAAAAATATTTTTACATACTTTTTGTATGCTGAATCTAATGACAAAATACATAGATAAAACATTTTGTTAGGCGAATACGCGTCAGATACGATACTAGTTATTATTCTATATTCGTACAAATATGTAAGCGTCCTATTCTCTAGTAGCTTCAAAACCCTCATTAGCACGAGTGTCATTAGAAGAAAATTAGCGCAGAAAGCTTCTGTCGGTGTTAATAATCTTCCGTCATTTAGAAAAATCAATATCTGAATTATATTCACGCAAATCGTTCTCCGTTAATGACAGTCTGTAGATCAATAACATAATATTCTTATAATACAGCGTTCCATATGCGGAAAAATGTACGCTACCTTTAAAATAACGGCATATTTTTGCTTATTTCGCCCCTGAAGTACAGGTCAACAAATTCCGCTTTTTTAAAAAATTATAAAATCTGATTTTGCGAAATTTTATTTGCGATGCCCTCTATACAGGGTGTCCCAGAATTCGCGCCATTCCCGTGAATGACATGTTCCCTGTCCCGAACTGTGCCGTAATTCGCAAAAAGAATTGTCCAGGCTTTAACCGTGTGAGAACTGGAAGGCGATTAAGTTGACCAATAGAGAGGCTGCTTTTAGATCCGAACGTTTCTATGTTCAAAGTTACCTATGCCAAGAACAAAAAATCGGGTAATACTAAAGTTGAATGAATTTTTTCCGAATCCCCCTCCGTCAACAAAAGGAAACAGAAGCGTGGTTATAAATTTAATCATTTTGACAATTGTTTGTCATAAACTGTCACAAAGTTTATCACTGACCTGAAGAGACGCTTCTGCGCCAAAGATGACTGATTAATGTACACAGAGACATCAAGGTTTACTTTAAGGCAAGTAGCATGGGACAGAAGTTATTTCTGCTGCCATTCTAGTTAAATTGTGTTTAACTGGGCTGTACATGTCATAAGAGAAGCTGTTTCATTTCATCGTAGGCAAATAATACATTTATTACTATTCTACATAGAGTAGCTACCGAAGAGCAGGTATTAGAAGTGATTTTCTTAGAGCCCCGTGAATAATCGTCGGCACCCAGGCCAACATGTGTTTCACCTATTGTTACATCGAGCAAGAGAAGATGGATCTTTTCAACCTAGTCGGAGAGGCCGTGCTGGGGCTCCACGGAATGTACGTGTAGGTGCTGAAGAGCAAGTGGTAGAAAACATGGAAGCGGATCCTAGGAGAAGTGTCATCTACGTAGCGCAAATGAGTGGATGCGCAAGATCGACCACTCATCGTATCCTTCAAGAGAGAAGACTGCATCCTTACCATTACACGAGAGTGCAGCATCTGCGACCAACCGACTACCCGCAACGAGTACATTTTGCTCAATGGTTACTGGGACAAAATGAACTAAATCCTGATTTTACACGGCGCATTCTTTTCACCGACGAATGTTTATTTTCCCGAAAAGGAATGTTTAATGCACACAATTGGCATTTCTGGGCACACGAAAATCCACATCTCACTAGGGTGAGAGCATATCAGGAGCGATTTACTATTAATCTATGGGCTGAAATCATTGGTACTACTGTGGTAAAAATTTTAACGCATCTGATAAAATTATCACTAAACTCCGTTCCTGTTTTTTTAGGTGGGGCCGTTTGTGTTACCTGATCGCCTTAATGGGGATGCATATGCTAATTTTCTACGACTAGAGCTTCCGGCATTGTTGGAAGACGTTCCTTTGAATGTACGGCGGAATATGTGGTTTCAGCACGACGGCGCTCCTCCACATAATTCGATACTTGTACGACGAACATTGAAAAGAGTTGCATTGAAGTTAATGGTGGTCATTTTGAGCACATTGTTTAATAACGTTACAGTACAACGATTCCAGCCCATAGATTAATAGTATTGCTCTTGATATGCTCTCACGTTAGCGAAATATGGATTTTCGTTTGTCCAGAAGTGCCAATTGTGCGCATTAAATATTCCTTTTCGGGAAAATCAACATTCGTCGGCGAAAAGAATGTGCCGTGAAAAATCAGGATTTAGTTCATTTTGTCGCAGTAACCATTTAGCAACATGCACTCGTCGCGCAGTCGGCTCGTCGCAGATGCTGAACTTTCGTCAATAGTAAGGATGCAGATTTTTCTCTGTAAGGATACGATGCATGATCGATCTTGAGCATCCAATCATTTGTGCCACTTGTTCTTCACCGTCTATGCGTATAATCCGTGGAGCCCCAGCACGGCTTTCCGAATAGGCTGAAAAGATCCATCTTCTTTTGCTGGATGCAACAAACGACGAAACACATGCTGGTCAAGGAGCCGATGATTGGGGAAAAGACCTGTATATTCGCGCACAGCACTGGCTGGATAGCGTGTACATTCTCCATAAATTAACATCATTTCCAAATATTCTTTATACTAGTATGAATAAGACATCAATAACTTAGTCGTATTGGTACTGATTTGTTTATAGTTTGTATTGTTCTTAAAAAAAAATTGCAACTAAACGATTTTTGTTATAATTTTTATTCGTATCTTTTCAATCTCTAGAAAGTACTCATAACTTTAAAGAAACTGTTTTAAATAATCATGTGCAACATCAATATTATTCTTGAATAAGTCTCCGTTTTCAGTATCTCCCCCACATGATTGACACCACAGCAGATACCTATGATCTCAATACACCAGAGAAGTGGAGTCTCGTCTCTTTTTTCGTTGCTTAGATTAGGTATCAGCAACAAAGCTGTTCAGTAAAAATTGATACTGTTTATTGAAAATCATAAGCACCGATTAATCAAAAGCGATATTTATGTTTTAGTACACTTAATAACGTTCTTTGAATGGACATGTGGTACTCTTTTTTAGAAATAACGATAAACTTAATATCAGGCATATGATGCATTCTGAAAATGTACTAATTTTCGTTAAAAAGAACAACACATTATTCACGGGGCTCTAAGAAAATCACTTCTAATACCTGCTCTTCGGTATCTACTCTATGTAGAATAGTAATAAATGTATTATTTGCCTACGATGAAATGAAACAGCTTCTCTTATGACATGTACAGCCCAGTTAAACACAATTTAACTAGAATGGCAGCAGAAATAACTTCTGTCCCATGCTACTTGCCTTAAAGTAAACCTTGATGTCTCTGTGTACATTAATCAGTCATCTTTGGCGCAGAAGCGTCTCTTCAGGTCAGTGATAAACTTCGTGACAGTTTATGACAAACAATTGTCAAAATGATTAAATTTATAACCACACTTCTGTTTCCTTTTGTTGACGGAGGGGGATTCGGAAAAAATTCATTCAACTTTAGTATTACCCGTTTTTTTGTGTTCTTGGCATAGGTAACTTTGAACATAGAAACGTTCGGATATAAAAGCAGCCTCTCTATTGGTCAACTTAATCGCCTTCCAGTTCTCACACGGTTAAAGCCTGGACAATTCTTTTTGCGAATTACGGCACAGTTCGGGACAGGGAACATGTCATTCACGGGAATGGCGCGAATTCTGGGACACCCTGTATTAAAAAAAAATAGTTTACGCTTGAGACGTAAAAATATTATTGTGCTTTTTTAGAGATTCTTGTAAATACGCTTTTTTGAATTAATTAATGCATTATACTTAAAAACTCATACTCTTACCCATACTTCAAACGTATTATGTTACGAAGGCACACTTTGTTAACTTGTTTATATTTGGTCTAGCGCGGAGTGCAGGGAAATCGGGTGAACGGCCAAACAATTGATCCAAACGTAAGAATGTATTGATAAAGCGCAAGGATGAGTCTGTTTCTAGTGAGTTTCCCCAGTGGAAAATGTTCCGATCAAAATTTCAACAAAAACATGTATGTTAATTCCGATACGTGCAAGGCTAATAATAGAAAAATGTTCGAAGATTACTTCGACAGGATTTCCTTTGCCCCAGAAGTACAGTCCAACAAATGTCGCTTCTTTGAAAAATTAAAAAAAAAAGATTTTGCAAACTTTTACTTTATTAAGAAGCTAAATGACACGATAACTGTGTTTGTGTACAATATTCAACTTTGTTTCTCTTTTAATGATACTCTGTGTATTTTTTAAAGGTCTTGTAGAGCTTGTTTGTCTGAATTCATTATGTCATGTATCACATTATT